GCCATGACAACAATAAATATAACACTAACACTAATATAACACTAAATATAACATGCAGACAGCTCACCGTGTTTACTTTTTACTTCATGGATGATAAAAACTGTGTTATAATGAGATACAGACAGTACACAGCGATCTCATTTTGACCCAGGAAAGGGTTTAGGCTCTACTCAATAAAGAGCAGGTCATTAAAGGGCTCATTTTACACAATATCCTGATGTTCTGATGTCGTTTCTTCATCACACGCAGACCTGGAGTTGTGTTTTGTTTCATGTTTAACTGCACATTTACGCTGAGCTCTTCTCTCAAACTGAAAACATACCACGATACCTGGGCCATGATATGATACGCATCTCGATACAGGACAGTTTCAATACAATATGAGAAAAAATCAAGTCTAAATCATGTCTGTGATACTAAAGTCTTTCTTAAACCACTTCTTGAGCAAAGTTCATATGAAACACAAACATTTTAATCATCAAAACAGTGAAAATTCCTTCAGTTTCCTTCCTCTAAATCAGGAGTGTCAAACATACGGCCCGGGGGCCAGATCCGGCCCTCCAAGACCTTTAATCTGGCCCTCGGCTGATTTTCTACTAAAATATTTTAATTATATTTTCTATTAAAATCTTGTTAATTTTCTGTGGTGTTTATCACAGCAGCGTCTCCAGCGTCTCTGTACGTGGCCCCTCCCACCAGAGCAGCACAAATGAAGACTTGTCTCTTTCCAAACGCTCTTAAAGGACGATCGTTTTGACTGTTGACCGTGACACCCTCATCAGAAAAATGTCCAACATGAGAAAAGTGGAGCCGAGTGCAGGATTTTACAACAAAAATGGACTTATTCCTGTTTACAGACAAGTTCATGTTAAAACTTTGTGTTGAAATTACATTTTTCTTAAAGTTTCAGGTTGTTCATAATATAATAATATTTTAGTCAAAGAAAGAGTTCATCAATTCAAAAAGATTTCTGTAATAGATTTGTGTTTCTCTGCACAAATATTTAAATTTATTGTTATTTTTGGGGTTTATATGACATGAGTTTTGATCCGGACACTTTGGGATCAAAGTCGGTTGGATACGACCCCCGGACCAAAATGAGTTTGACACTCCTGATCTAAACATACAACAAAACTGTAGCTGTAACAAAATAATTTAGCAAAATAAACCAAAAAAATAAAAATTAAATAGTCTTGGTGATATATCGATACAGCAGCCCACGATATCGATACTGTATCATCACATTAAACGATACGCTCCACTGTGTTCTTTACTGTGAGCTCTACTGAACTAAAGATTTATCCTTAGGAGCTGTTCACTGGAAAACTACCACTTCATGACATCACAAGGTGGAGCAGAGCGTTTTGAGCTTTGGAGACGCAGACGGACCAATAATAAAGATTTACTCAAACATGTGAATGAAACAAAACACAACTCCAGGTCTGTTTTTGAGGAGGAATCAACTCTTGTGATCTTTAAATCATGTTATAATGTTAAAAAATTACCAAAATATTAAAAACATCCAGTCTTAGGTTTGGGTATTCTCGTCAATAATTACTTTTTTTTTGTTTTTCGTCATCGTAAACGTGACACTGGTGAAATCGTGATGTTTAAACACGTCCTGCTCCAGTCCAGGTGACAGAAACATTCTTTTATTGTAAATGTTTAACCTGTTGCACCGTTAAAGTCGGTTATGTCGGTTATGATCGTGTTTTCCCTCTTTCTCCGTCTCTGTTTTCATCCGTCTCTTTAACGGACAAAAACAAAGAGGCACGAGGAGGAAGAGGAAGTGAAAACACGTGAGAGGTTTGGCTGCAGGGCACAAAACAAAACCACAGACAACAACGCACGCTTCTGTCATCATTTTTACAGGCTCCTGGTTTAGTCCTGGTGTAGTCCCGGTGTAGTCCCACTTTAGTCCTGGTTTAGTCCCATTTTAGTCCCTCTTTAGTCCGTTTTAGTGGTAGTTGAGTCCCGGCTTAGTCCCGGCTTAGTCCCTGTTTAGTCCCAGTTTAGTCCCAGTTTAGTCCCAGTTTAGTCCCAGTTTAGTCCCAGTTTTAGTCGTAGTTGAGTCCTGGTTTAGTCCCACTTTAGTCCCACTTTAGTCCCACTTTAGTCCCACTTTAGTCCCACTTTAGTCCCACTTTAGTCCCCGTTTCAGTCCTGGTTTAGTCTCGGCTTAGTCCCTGTTTAGTCCCTGTTTTGTCCCCGTTTTAGTCCCCGTTTTAGTCCCCGGTTTAGTCCCCGTTTTAGTCCCTAGTTTAGTCCCTAGTTTAGTCCCTAGTTCAGCTCTGATTTAGACCTGTTTAGACCTGGTTTAGTCCATGGTTTAGTCCTGGTTTAGTCCCCGGTTTAGCCCTTGTTTAGTCCCTGGTTTAGACCTGGTTTAGTCCTGGTTTAGTCCTAGTTCAGCCCTGGTTTAGACCTGGTTTAGACCTGGTTCAGCCCTGAGTTAGTCCCACTTTAGTCCCACTTTAGTCCCTGTTTTAGTTGTGGTTTAGTCCTGGTTTAGTCCCTGGTTTAGTCCCAGTTGAGTCCCAGTTGAGTCCCAGTTGAGTCCCAGTTGAGTCCCAGTTGAGTCCCAGTTTAGTCCCAGTTTAGTCCCTGTTTTAGTTGTGGTTTAGTCCCAGTTGAGTCCCAGTTTATTCCCTAGTTCAGCTCTGATTTAGACCTGGTTTAGTCCTGCTTTAGTCCTGGTTAAGCCTCTACATTTGTTTACATACATAATTATAAAGCATTATATTTTCTCATAATCAGGAAGTGCTCTGTTAGCATGCCAGTTGCTGTTAACATTAAAGTGAAGGTAAAACTCCGCTCTGGTCTCTGAGAGCTGTGAAAAGCGTTTATAAACTCATTGTGGAGAGTAAATGAACGCAGAAGATGAGCGAGGAAGAACTTTGGACGACCGTAAAATGGACTAATTCAGTTTTTCACGTTTTTAAAAGAGTAAAAATCAGGCAGAGCGAGTTTAATGTTTAATGTCCGTGTTCTCGTGTACAGTGCGCGTCAGGTCCTTAATTCCGCGCTCGGTCAGACGGTGTAATAACAGGAGTTGGCCCGGCGCGGCTCTGATCACAGCTCTGGGTCAGGGCTGTTTTTAGCGTCTGCGTCACTGTTGGTTTTGGCCGTGACCTGCTTCAGTGAGAACAGCGTTTGGGAGGAGCGGCCGGAAAACACGGACACACAAAAAAAAACACACAAAAACACACGACAGGCACCGTGTTAAAGCTGCACTGTGTAATGGAATTTTCAGACTACAAGACGCACTTTAAATCCTTTAATTTTCTCAAAAATCGACAGTGCGTCTCATAATCCTATGCGTCTTATGTATTAATTCTGGTTGTGTTACTGACCTCGGACAGATTTTATGTGGCACACGGAGCTCAAAAATCTGTCAGAATGTTTTAGTACGACTTTGGTAAACTACGAAGCCGCACCGCTTGATGAACTGTCGGAGCATTACAGCAGAGGAGTGAGGAGATTCACGGAGTTGTGTCCTTTAGTCCAACAGAAGCTGATCGAGGAGCGAGCTGTGTTTTTTTTTTTTTTTTCAGCACTTAGGTCCCACTAGGGCACGACTTTTTGTGGCCGATATGAAACCGACAAAATGGGAGTTGGAGCTGCCGATAGAATCGCGATATATTTAGTGATGTAAAAATTTACTGTAAATCTTGAATTGTTTGGCTCTAGTGGATTGTAAATTGGGTTTATTTAGGCAACATTTATTGTTATTCTGACTCTTTATGTCATATTTACAGAAAATAGACTAATGGCATTTTTGCATCACATTCTAGACACTAGTGATGGGTATTCCAGTTCATTTTAGAGAACCGGCTCTTTTGGATCAGATCACTAAAAGCCGTTGGCTCTTTCGGCTCCCAAGCGGCTCTTCAGATTGTTTTGTTGCAAGCAGGACTAAACCAGGTCTAAACCAGAAATGAACCAGGGCTAAACCAGGACTAAAATGGATCTAAACCATGTGTAAAACAGGAATAAACCAGATTTCTCTCTCCGTCTCTCGAGCCCAAGATTAGTCCTGGTTTATTTACTTTCTGCTGAACTACAGTCAAATAAGCACATTTTTTGTTGTTGTTTTTTTTTATCCTATGCACGTGTATATTTCTGAAAGTTTCGTTTTCAGACGCTGCCGCTGTCAAACTACCACGAGTCTGTACACGACGTGAAGAGAAAAAAAGTGAGAGAAAGAGAAAACACGGTTCCCAATAAGGAGCAGGATCCCGTCATTCGCTTCAAAGAGCCGGATCTAAGAGCCGCTTCGTTCGCGACCGACCCATAACTACAACCTAGTAAAGAAACTAGCGCTATGAGCCTTTACCCGTAAATGCTGCACGCCGCGGTAATTAATTATATGTGTAAATGTCGATCATTCACACGTCTATTCACAGCTCATTTACATCAATGCAGGTCCAGTAACAAATATACGACCAATATAAACACTTTACAATACGCCAACAGAAAACAGCCTGTTTATGTGTGAGAGCGACAGCAGATAATCAATAACCAATCAGAACGAACCAAAACCAGCTTCAAAGTCGACATATTTCCAACACTCAGCCTCACACAGGCTCCTCCCACATCACAAGTCTGAACTAATAAATGTCCCTTTAATCCAGACTCAAACCGATTGTCTGTAAAAAGAAAATAATCTCAGTGTTTGGATCTGCGTCTGCAGGTGTAAACAAACACACGTGAGTGACGCGACTCTGGTGTGTTCAGGGACAGTACGGACGCACAGACAAATGACTCCGCAGATAAATACTGACGCAGAGCCACATATTTGGACATTTATCTGTCTGTAAATTGGATTAAATGAACATAATGTAGAGAGTCTAAGATTTATAACGACGTATCACATGCCCACATGAAATATCGGCCCGTATCAGCAAGCATATCAGCTGATAATATCGGCCAACCGATATATCAGATTATTGGCAATGTGGGAACTAGAGCCCGACTGAGTTTGAAAAGTAGAGACTCACCCTCCACACATGAGGAACTCGCTGGACGGTCGCCTCGTGCCCATCGGCTGATCATCTGAGAAAAAAAATGGAAAAAGTTCAGATATTTCATCAGGAAGTAAAAGACAATGTCCACGTTTACATCATGTTTTTTAATTCCGAATTAATTGTTCTGAATTAAAATATTCTCCTTCGAGTTTACGTGGAAATAATAATTCCAAATTGAGGTTTACATGTTAAACTCGTGAAATCGTCTTTATTTAATGTGTGAGCATCTGGTTGTGGGGAAGGTTCTGATTGGACAGAGACACCGACGGATTTACTTCGACCGGAAGAAAACACACACTTCAGCTGCTCCCGGCGTTTCTTTCATCTCGCACACAAACACCATCCAAACTTTTCCCGCGGTGGTTCTACTGATAATTGCGAAGCAGCAGATGGAGAATTGTCTCATCGCGCTTTACGTCTGTCGGCTGAGGAGGAGAAGGGAAGAGCGTCGGAGAAGGAGGAAGAAGACAAAGTGAGTGTGAGGCTGTTGTACCTCAGCCCCACATCTGCTCACAAATCCAAAGAGACGTGGAGGAAAGTCTGAAGACACGACTGGAGGAGCCGGATCGAAAGGAAGACACCGAGGGGGAAAACAGAGGGAGAAGGATGAAGGAGAAAGAAGAGAGAGAGAGAGAGAAGAGGGGAGAGAGGAAAGAGGGGGAGAGGAGGGAGGGGACAGAGAGGAGAGAGAGAAAAGGGGAGAGATGAGAAGAAAGAGGGGAAGGACAGAGAGCAAAGAGAGGGATGAGAGAGAGAGGAGGAAAAAGAAAGAGGAGAAAGGGGAGAGAGAGAGGATAGAGAGGAGGAGGAGAGAGAAAAGAGACATTTTTATTACAATTTCTTGGAGATAATTTAACGCCAAATACATTTCTAAAGCAAAAATAAATAAAAACAGATATTTCGATTGTGGTTTTGAAGTGATAAAGTTCAAATCTATGACACACTGAACCATAAAGTTATAATTTAGACGTTTTAAATCACAATATTCCTCTAAAACAACTTTTCCTGAGTTTATTTTTGACGATAAATTGATAATAGTAAATGTAAAAAGGACACTGACTGGAGGAGAGTTGTATCTGATGCAGGGGGAGCTGCCACACGAGCTGTCCGTCACCGGGTTTGAGGCGCTGGGCACAGGGACCGGACACGCTGGACACAAAAACACCCACAAAACACCGATTAATTCTTCACGTTCCCTCTTAGATCCGTGTTTAAACTGTAAATATAACGACTGCAGTAAAAGATCTGGGACGTACATTTTTTGATGGTCGTCGGAGACTCGAGGAACGGATGAGTGAAGAACGTGTCTGGAGAAAGAACGAAGATCCAGGTTTAGTCCAGGTTTGGGCTTTAGTCCTGGTGTAGTCCTGGTGTGGGCTTTAGTCCTGGTCTAGTCCAGTTTGTGTCCAGGTTTGGTGTTTAGTCCTGGTTCAGTCCCTGGTTCAGTCCCTGGTTCAGTCCCTGGTTCAGTCTTTGGTTCAGTCAGTCCTGGCATGGTCCAAGTGTGGTCTTTAGCCCTCGTGTAGTCCTCGTGTAGTCCTCGTGTAGTCCCATGTCTAGTCCCATGTCCAGTCCCAGGTCCAGGTCCAGTCCCAGTCCCAATCCCAGGTCCAGGTCCAATCCCAGGTCCAGTCCCAGTCCCAGGTCCAGTCCCAGGTCCAGTCCCAGTCCAATCCCAGGTCCAGTCCCAGTCCCAGTCCCAGGTCCAGTCCAGTCCCCCAGGTCCAGTCCCATGTTCCAGTCCCAGGTCCAGTCCCAGTCCCAATCCCAGGTCCAGTCCCAGGTCCAGTCCCAGGTCCAGTCCCAGTCCCAGGTCCAGTCCCAGGTCCAGTCCCAGGTCCAGTCCCAGGTCCAGTCCCAGTCCCCCAGGTCCCAGTCCAGGTCCAGTCCCAGGTCCAGTCCAGTCCCAGTCCCAGGTCCAATCCCAGGTCCAGTCCCAGTCCCAGGTCCCAGGTCCCAGTCCCAGTCCCAGTCCAGTCCCAGGTCCAATCCCAGGTCCAATCCCAGGTCCAGTCCCAGTCCCAGTCCAGTCCCAGTCCCAATCCCAGGTCCAGTCCAGTCCCAGGTCCAATCCCAGGTCCAGTCCCAGTCCAGTCCAATCCCAGGTCCAGTCCAGTCCAGTCCAGTCCAGTCCCAATCCCAGTCCCAGTCCCAGGTCCAGTCCCAATCCCAGTCCCAGGTCCAGTCCCAGTCCCTGGTGTAGTCTTGATTCAGTCCAGGTCTAGCCCACGTCTAGTCTTTAGCCCTGCCGTAAATCCCGGCTCAGTCCTGGTCTGGTTCTGGTTCTTGTACATTTGGTTTTGTACAAATATTTACATAAATTTGTTGTAAAAGTGTAAAACGTGTTTTTTTTACCAAAGTCCATTCTGTCCTTCTGGTTCCTCTGCAGCAAACCCAGGAGCAGGTTTGTGAGCGGCGCCGACGTCTCTCGAGGAATTCTGGGTCAAAAGAAAAGAAACATGTTTTTCTAACGACTTTAAACTTAAAAACGTGTGTTTAGTTTATTTTTACTGCGGAGTCGCACATGGGCTGGAGGTTCTTGTTCTTCTCGTAAAACAGCCTCAGGTCCTGGGGGCTGTTGGCCTGAAATCACAGAACGGACCAGGACTCAGGATCAAAAACAAAACACTTGTGACATTTTGAGTGTAATTAAATTTAATAAACCGGCCAAATATAAAAAAAAAAAAAAAAAAAAAAATCAATATAATTCAAATTGTTAAAGACTCTGTACCTGAGTTTTTCTGATCTACTTCATTTGAAACGGTTTATTCACCAAGGAGTTTATAAACACTTGTCACACTTTTTCAGTTTTTTCCATCAGAATGAAGTTAAAAACAATTAACATGCTAACCACACACTTCCTGATGACCTGCTTGAAGACAAATAACTGCAAAAATACATGAAAAAAATGTGTACAGTGTAAAGATAAATGAAAAAAGCAAAAAGTGTGTAGGAAAATTCAAGATTAAATTCATGTCTAGTCCTAGTCCTGGTTTAGTCCTGGTTCAGTCCTGGTTCAGTCCTGGTTCAGTCCTGGTTTAGTCCTGGTTTAGTCCTGGTTTAGTCCTGGTGTAGTCCTGGTAGTCCTGATGTAGTCCTGATGTAGTCCTGGTGTAGTCCTGGTGTAGTAGTCCTGGTGTAGTCTGGTGTAGTCCTGGTGTAGTCCTGGTGTAGTCCTGGTGTAGTAGTCCTGGTTAGTCCTGGTTAGTCCTGTGTAGTCTTTAGTCCTGGTGTAGTCCTGGTGTAGTCTGGTTAGTCTGGTGTTGGTGTCTTTAGTCCTGGTGTAGTCTGGTGTAGTCTTTAGTCTGGTGTAGTCCTGGTGTAGTCTTTAGTCCTGGTGTAGTCCTGGTGTAGTCCTGGTGTAGTCCTGGTGTAGTCCTGGTGTAGTCCTGGTGTAGTCCTTGTAGTAGTCCTGGTGTAGTCCTGGTTTAGTCCTGGTGTAGTCCCTGTAGTCTGGTGTAGTCTGGTGTAGTCCTGGTGTCCTGGTGTAGTCCTGGTGTAGTCCTGGTGTAGTCCTGGTGTAGTCTTTAGTCCTGGTGTAGTCTTTAGTCCTGGTGTAGTCCTGGTTGTAGTCCTGGTTTAGTCTTTAGTCCTGGTGTAGTCCTGGTGTAGTCTTTAGTCCTGGTGTAGTCCTGGTGTAGTCCTGGTGTAGTCCTGGTGTAGTCCTGGTGTAGTCCTGGTGTAGTCTTTAGTCCTGGTGTAGTCCTGGTGTAGTCTTTAGTCCTGGTGTAGTCCTGGTGTAGTCCTGGTGTAGTCCTGGTGTAGTCTTTAGTCCTGGTGTAGTCCTGGTGTAGTCTTTAGTCCTGGTGTAGTCCTGGTGTAGTCCTGTCCTGGTAGTCCAGTCCTAGTCCTGGTGTAGTCTTTAGTCCTGGTGTAGTCTTTAGTCCTGGTGTAGTCTTTAGTCCTGGTAGTCTGGTGTAGTCTGGTTAGTCCTGGTGTAGTCTTAGTCTGGTGTAGTCCTGGTTTAGTCCTGGTAGTCTGGTGTAGTCTTGTAGTGGTGTAGTCCTTAGTCAGTGTGTAGTCCTGGTAGTAGTCCTGTGTAGTCTTGTCCTGGTGTAGTCCTGGTGTAGTAGTCCTGGTGTAGTCCTGGTGTCTTTAGTCCTGGTAGTCCTGGTGTCCTGGTGTTGGTTGTCCTGGTGTAGTCCTGGTGTCCCTGTGTAGTCGGTGTAGTCCTGGTGTCCTGGTGTAGTCCTGGTAGTCTGATTAGTCCTGGTGTAGTGGTAGTCTGGAGTAGTCTGTGTAGTTTGGTAGTCCTGGTGTAGTCCTGGTGTAGTCCTGGTGTAGTCCTGGTGTAGTCCTGGTGTAGTCCTGGTGTAGTCCTGGTGTAGTCTGTCTGGTGTCGTAGTCCTGGTAGTCCTGAGTAGTCCCTGGTGTAGTCTTTAGTCCTGGTGTAGTCCTGGTGTACGTCCATGAGATGAATTAGTGTAAAGTGAAAGTGAAAGTGAAAGTATAACGGGTGTTTTGATCGTTTACATGAAAAGTGGAGCGAGGTTTTACCTGAAACGGAGGCTTCCCCACGAGACACTGATAAACCACCGTCCCGATGCTCCACAGATCTGCTTTAGCGTCATAATTCTGAGACATGATCACCTCCGGAGCCTGAGAGACGGAAGAGAAGAAGGAAAGAGAAAAGAGAGAGAGAAGAGGAGAAAGAGGGAGGGGGGAGAGAGAAGAGAGAGTGTAAAGAGTGGGAGAAAGGAGAAAGAGGGAAAGAGGGAAAGGGGAAGACGGGGAGAAGGAGGAGGAGGGAGAGGAGAAAGAGTAAAGAGGCAGGAGGAAAGGAGAGAGAGAGAGAAGAGAGGAAGAGTAAAAGAGAGAGAGAGGTAGTGAGAGAGAGAGAGGGGTAGATTGAGATGGAGAAGAGGGAGAGAAGAAGGAAAGGAAGGAGAGGAGAGCAAGGCAGAGAGAGCAAAAGGTAGGGAGAGATAGAGACAAAGAGAGAAGAAAAGGAGGAGGGGAGAGAGGAAAGTAAAGAGGGAGAGAGCAGGTGGGAGAAGGAGAGAGGGAGTGCAGCAGAGGGGGGAGAAAGAGGACAGGAGTAGGAGGGAAAGGGGGAGACAGGAGAGAAGGAAGGGGCAAGGGAGGAGAGAGGAAAAGATTGAAAAGAGGGGAGAGAGAGAGTGAGAGGGAGAGAGAGAGAGAGAGGAGGAGTAGGGAGTGAGGGAAAAGGGAAAAAGAGAATGAAGATGAGAGGGAGAAGGAGGAAAGGAGGCAGAGAGAGAGAAAAAGAAAAGAAGAAAGGAGAGAGAAAGGGAGAAGGAAGGTGTGGAGAAGAGAGAAAAGATAGAAGAGGGAGAGAGAGAGAGAGAGAGAGAGAGAGAGAGAGAGAGAGAGAGAGAGAGAGAGAGAGAGAGAGTTTATGTAACTCAGGTTTAAAGCCTCAGCTGGTTTAAATAATCGACCCACGAGAGGCGACGCTGATCATGTGACCCTGTGATCATGTGACAAGAGTGTTTATAAAAGTGAACCGTGAACTGATACTGAACATAAAATTACTTTATGGCTCTGATAAAATGGTTCCAAGTAAAATAAACTGACGAAGAAAAAAATAAAAAAAAAAACTCTCAGCTGAACCTGGAGATGTCAGGATAATTTAAAACAGTTTATCAATATTTGTACATTTTTATACAGCAAAGTATTTACCTAAACTACTGACATGATACTGCAGTAGTAGTAGAAGTGGTAATTTTGGTGGTTTTCAGGTTCTAAAATGCAATGACGACATACAAACTTTTTCTGGAATGTTCCGCAGTACGGCATTAAACCTTTCTATCTTCACCGAGACCAAACCAAACCGAGTTACAGGTCAGATCTGTGGAGAGGCGACCCCGCTCACAGTCACAATGTCTGTTTTCGGAGGTGTTTTTGAGCGATAAAACCACATGTGATTGCATAAATGTAAAGTAGAGCTGTTTAATGTCACACTGCGGAACATTCCGGGCAGAGCGGTGACGTATCCATAGAAACAAGCAGTAGTGCACCTTTAACTTTTAGTATTATGACCAAAATCTCCATTTCAACAATATTTATTTTAGCTGCCTCCAGTCTGTGTTAAATATTTTTAGGCTGTGATGTCATCTGAAACCCAGCAAATAAAGTAAAATAATGTAAATAAAGCGTAAAAAATTAATAATCATACTGCATAATCATAATAAAAGCAGTAAATATTGTGTAAATGTGGTTTGTGTGGAGGCTGGACTCACCATGTACATGGGAGATCCACACAGAGTCGCCGCCATCATGTTACTCTGGAGGTAACGCGCGAAACCAAAGTCAGCTGCGGACGAGACATCAGGTTTAAACCACAAAACATGACATTTAAACACAAAAACACAAGATTTTAAACACAAAACATGACATTTAAACACAAAACATGAGATTTAAACACAAAAACATGACATTTAAATACAAAAACACAAGATTTTAAACACAAAACATCAGGTTTCAACCACAAACTGGAACTAGAGTTTACAATACAAAACAACTCTTGGTTAGTAATTCTACAGTTAAACGATATTATAAACGGCCACAGGGATGTAACAATAACAAAAATATCGTGATATCGTATCGTCAAAGTTTCACAATAATATCATGGACCATCTTTGCTTAAATTCACTGTTACGATGCAGCAACAGCTAAAAAAAACGAAGAGAACTACATACACCATGATCCTTTGCTCCATTTCAGTCCAATCTATCTAAGGAAATAACTTTTATGAAGCACTTTTAAATCTTAATTATTTGGATTATGATGAGAGGAAAGTATATTATAAAGCATATTCACTATTTAGTTTTTTGTTTGTTTGTTTAAAGCAGGAGTGTCAAACTCAAATTCACAGAGGCCAAAATTAAAAACTGGGACTAAGTCGTGGGCTAAACTAAATATTTATTGAAATATTTCAGCATCATCTGCATGTTTTCTTTTGAGATATGTAATGTTAAACCTTTTCTTATTAAAATAAACGTTTAATAATAGTTTTGCTTAAACACTGAATCCAAAACAAACAAAATAAAATAACAACATTTTAAATAAATAATGTCTCTATAGTCGATCTGTATCCAGCGGGCAGCTCTAATACAGATTTGATTTGATCTCGCGAGACAAATATAATTATGTCACGGGCCAAATTTGGCCCCTGGGCCTGAGTTTGACATGTCTGGTTTAAAGGAAATAAATGCTGTTTTCCACATTGGTTTCTGTTGATTTCAAAATCTAGTCTGATTCATCAGCCGGTTTCACTTGGTGGAAACCGTCTGACCTTGCAGTGTTAGTATTTGTTCACTCGACAGTAGGCGGGTACTTTGTTTATTGAACCAATCACTGCTGTTTGGTCGTGACGTATGTAATGCTCTCAATGCGGTAGGAAGAAGAACAATAACGTCTTTCCCCTTGATAAAATTCACCAAACATTCTCTTTGTTCCGGCTTTAAATCCTCCAGCTGGGGAATCGTCGCCAACACAGAATGTCTGTCTTCATCTACATCCATCTTGAAGCTTTGTTTACTGTTGTTCTGTTCCACAAAAGGGAACCAGACAAACGCAACGATTTTGACGTCATGGCTTCACAGCTCACAGATGATTGGCCAGCGCACTGTCTACAAATTTCGGGGTTCTTGTGAATCGTCTAGTGTATTCCAATTCCTGACCTAGTCGCTGGAGAGAAATTAAATTGAGCAGAGGGACTAGGTGGAATCAGCCTGGCTAATCGAAATCAGTATCAGACCTGAGAAAGCTGTCCCGTACCTAAGTAAGTGAGTAAAAGATATAATATAATAAAAGCTTTTCGTACCGATCTTGACTCTGATGCCGCTGACTCCAGACTTCTTGCGTCCCGTGTAGCTCAGGAGGATGTTCTGAGGTTTCAAGTCTCTGTGGATGATTCCTTTACTGTGAAGGACTCTCATGGCGGCGGAGATCTGCTGAAGGAACACGCGCAAAGTGTCCTCTCGCAGGGTGCCCTTCGCTGGAGAAACAACACAAATATACACAAAGACACGCGTAAAAAAACACGTAAATACACTTATAAAAACATCATTATTAAGCCTAAAGTGTAAAGTGTCTCAGGGTGATTAAACTACAGACTTAAGCAGAAAAAGACGAGAAGCATAAGCACAATAATATTCAGGAATAATTACAGTGTTATTAACTCGAGCTGTGACAGTTTGACTTTATACGATGTTTAAAATAATTGACAAGTTTCAAAAAGTGCTGCAGGAAGCTCACTGTTCATTTGTTCTCTGGCCCAAGTGTCTGGCTCGAGGACACAAGGGCAGAAAACACGAAAAGACGAAAGAGTCAAAAACTACAGCCGCTCGACTGCATCAGACTCCAGGACTCCCTCTCTCTCTCTCTTTCATTCTCTCCCCTCGTCTCCCTCTCTCTCTCTCTCTCATCCTCTTTATCCTCCTTCATCTCTCTCTTCTCTCCTTCTTCCTCTCTCATCTCTCTGTCTCTCTCCCTTCTCTCTCTCCACGTCTCTCTCGTCCCCTCTCTCTCCATCTCTCTCTTCTCTCTCTTCCTCATGTCTCTTCCTCTCACTCCGTCTCTCTTCTTCTCTCCCCGTCTCTCTTCCTCTCTCCATCTCTCTCTCTCCCCGTCTCTCTCTTCTCTCTCTCTCTTCTCTTGTCTCTCTCTCTATCTCTCTCTTCCTCTCTGTCTCTGTCTTCTCTCTCTTCCTTGTCTCTCTCTTCCTCTCTCCTCATCTCTTTTCACTCTCTTCTTCTCTCTACCTCTCTCTTCCTTTCTTTACCTTTCTTTCCTGTCCCCATCTCTAACCTTCTCTTCCCCCCTCTCTCTTCCTCTCTTCCTCTCTTCCTCGTCTCTTCTCTCTCTCTTCTGTGTATTGATGATTATTTTATTGATCGTTTCTTCCGTTGTGAAAATGAGACACATTAAAAACCTCAAACTCTGCAGCTGGGACTCAAACACAACACCAGACCTGGACCTGGACCTAGACCTGGACCTGGACCCGGACCTAGACCTAGACCTAGACCTAGACCTGGACCTGGACCTGGACCTAGACCTGGACCTGGACCTGGACCTGGACCTAGACCTAGACCTAGACCTAGACCTAAACCTGGACCTAGACCTGGACCTAGACCTAGACCTAGACCTAGACTTAAACCTGGACCTAGACCTGGACCTGGACCTGGACCTAGACCTGGACCTAGACCTAGACCTGGACCTAGACTTAAACCTGGACCTAGACTTAAACCTGGACCTAGACCTGGACCTAGACTTAGACCTGGACCTAGACTTAAACCTGGACCTAGACCTGGACCTAGACTTAGACCTGGACCTGGACCTAGACTTAAACCTGGACCTGGACCTGGACCTAGACCTAGACCTGGACCTAGACCTGGACCTAGACCTAGACCTAGACTTAAACCTGGACCTAGACTTAAACCTGGACCTAGACCTGGACCTAGACCTGGACCTAGACCTGGACCTAGACCTGGACCTGGACCTGGACCCTGTAGGATCTTACGTTCGTCTCCAGATGTTATTGACGTTTTGTTTATTATAATGTAAAAATATGGAAAACAAGATGTAAAAAAAACTAATTCAATATTTTGGCTGAATTATTTGAACATAAAAGTGTTTAAATCCTCGTCTCGGCGCTGGACGAGTTACGTGTGTCGTTGGTCAAAGTCTCCAGAGTAAAAACAGCAGATTGTATAAGTCGTGTCACTTAAACTCGACCTTTGACCTTCTGCGTTCAGAGAAAGTGGGACAGTGGGACAGATTTATGTAACAAACACAACGCACCATATGACCTCTGACCCTATGACCCTATGTCTCTCTCTCTTTCTCTCTCTCTCTTTTCCCCTCGCTCCCTCTCTCATTCTTTTCCTCTCTTTCTCCCCCTCTTTCCTCCTGCTCTCTCTCTTCCTCCCTCCCTTCCTTTCTCTCTACCTCACTCTACCTCTTTCTATCTTCCTCTCACGCCCTCTCTCTCTCTCTTTTCTCTTTCTCCCTTTCTCTCCCTCTCTCCCTCCCCCCTCCCTCTCCTTTCCCCTCTCTATCTCTCTCCAGCTCCCCCCCTCGCTCTGTTGCTCTCTCTTCCCTCCTTATCCCCCTCTCCCCCTCTGTCCCTCTCTATCTCTTTCCCTTTCTCTCTCTCCCCCCCTCTCTCTTTCTGCCCCTCTCTCCTCCTCTTTCTCCCTCCTTCTCTCTCCCTCTTTCTCTTTCTCTCACTGTCTCTCCCCCCTTCTCTCTCTCTCTCTCTCCCTCCTTCTGACTCCTGCTCTCTCTCTCTCTCCTTCCTCTCCCTCTTTCTCGCTGTCTCTCCCCCCTTCTCTCCCCCTCCCTCCTCTCTCCCTCTTTCTCTTTCTCTCGCTGTCTCTCCCCCCTTCTCTCTCTCTCTCTCTCCCTCCTTCTGACTCCTGCTTTCTCTCTCCTTCCTCTCCCTCTTTCTCGCCGTCTCTCCCCCCTTCTCTCTCCCCCTCCCTCCTCCTCTCTCCCTCTTTCTCTCGCTGTCTCTCCCCCCTTCTCTCTCTCTCTCTCTCCCTCCTTCTGACTCCTGCTTTCTCTCTCTCTCCTTCTCTCTCTCCCTCCTTCTCTCTCTCTCCTTCTAACTCCTGCTCTCTTTCTCCTCTCTCTCTCTCCCTCCTTCTCTCTCTCTCTCCCTCCTTCTCTCTCCCTCCTTCTCTCTCTCTCTCCCTCCTTCTCTCTCTCTCTCCCTCCTTCTTTCTCCATCTCTCCTTCTAACTCTCTTCTTCTAACGCTCTCTCCCTCCTCTCTCTCTCTCCCCCCTTCTCTCTCTCTCTCTCTCCCTCCTTCTGACTCCTGCTTTCTCTCTCTCTCCTTCCTCTCTCTCTCCTTCTAACTCCTGCTCTCTCTCTTTCTCCTCTCTCTCTCTCTCTCTCTTCTCTCTCCCTCTCCCTCCTTCTCTCTCTCTCCCTCCTCTCTCTCTCTCCCTCCTTCTTTCTCCATCTCTCCTTCTAACTCTCTTCTTCTAACGCTCTCTCCCTCCTTTCTCTCTCTCTCTCCCTCCTTCTCTCTCTCCTAACTCTCTCTCTCCATCTCTCCTTCTAACTCTTCTTCTAACGCTCTCTCCCTCTCACTCTTTCCCTGTTTCTCTCTCTCTCTTCTTCTAACTCTTTCTCTCTCCCTCTTTCCCTCTATTTCTCCCTCTCTCTCTCCTTCTATCTCTCTCTAACTCTCTCTCTCCCTCTATTTCTCCTCCGCCCCCCCTCCCTTCTCTCTCCCTCTTTCTCTTTCTCTCACTGTCTCTCCCCCCTTCTCTCTCTCTCTCTCTCTCCCTCCTTCTGACTCCTGCTTTCTCTCTCTCCTTCCTCTCCCTCTTTCTCGCCGTCTCTCCCCCTTCTCTCTCCCCCTCCCTCCTCTCTCCCTCTTTCTCTCGCTGTCTCTCCCCCCTTCTCTCTCTCTCTCTCTCCCTCCTTCTGACTCCTGCTTTCTCTCTCTCTCCTTCTCTCTCTCCCTCCTTCTCTCTCTCTCCTTCTAACTCCTGCTCTCTCTCTTTCTCCTCTCTCTCTCTCTCTCCCTCTCTCTCCCTTCTCTCTCTCTCTCCCTCCTTCTCTCTCCCTCTCCCTCCTTCTTCTCCTCCTTCTCTCTCTCTCTCCCTCTTCTTTCTCCATCTCTTCTAACTCTCTTCTTCTAACGCTCTCTCCCTCCTCTCTCTCTCTCCCTCCTTCTCTCTCCCTCCTCTCTCCCTCTCCTCCTTCTCTCTCTCCCTCCTCTCTCTCTCTCCCTCTCTTCTCTCCTCTTCTCTCTCTCTCCTCCCTCCTTCTTCTCTCTCCTAACTCTCTCTCTCCCATCTCTCCTTCTAACTCTTCGTCTCTCTTCCTCCTCTGCTCTTCATCTTTCTCTTTTCTAGTTTTAACTCGTGGACACTTTTAAACCTTCATGAACTCTGTGTGCATCGTCTTAAACAGAGCGTCACTGTCTCTTTTTCTTTCTTTCTCTGTCATTGTGCTGAACCCGTCGACCTCCCCCCACACACAGAACGCTGCAAAAACCGACTCTTTCTGCGACGCACAAACGCACCATTGAGCCCAGACCCCGGTGTAACGAACAGCGCCCCCTCCCTCCCACGCGAGGAGAGACAAACGCTCTTACCTTGCAAATAATCGGCCAGGTCCCCCCCGTTGCAGTACTGAAACACAAACACAGACACAGAGAAAAGAAAATTAAGACACGGAATTTACTATAATAATTTACCACGTTAATATGAGAGCTTTAATTCTGAATAAAAATGAATTCCGCTTTAAAAAGACCATGTAAACATTTCTTAAATCCGAAGTCAGTGGGTGTTTTATTCTGATTTTAAAGCCAAATTAATTTATTCTTGGATCATGTAAACGTTTATTCTTTTAAAAAATAATCCCGGTCGTTCGGCGCATACTCGTGTCGTCCTTCGATCCGCTTCCACCAGTCCTGGCTTCGGACTTTCCTCCACGTCTCTTTGGATTTGTGAGTGGGATGCGGGAGTGGGCTGCGTTCAGACTGCAGGGCTTAACGCTCAATTCCGATTTTTTTGTGAAATCTGATGTTTTTTTCGAGGTCGTTCACATTTCCAGTTAAATGTGACTTGTATGTGACTCCAGTGTGAACATTAAACGGCCCGAAAGTGTCCCACATGTGACACTGGAGACACGACGACGTCAACCGCAGCGAGCGTCTCTGTGTTTACAGAAGTTGTCCAAACATGGACGCAGCATCGAGCACCTGGAGATTTTAAAGTTCCTCTCGTACCGGAGCCAGAACATGAACAACTTACTTGTTTTAAGGAGGAGATTGAGAAGGAGAAGGACGAGGTTTTTGGCCGTTGAAAGGAACGTGTGGATGTGGAGACGGAGCCAAGAGTGGTGAGTGGAGATGTGCTTCACTTCAGTGACACGGAGTTCATTAACAATTTTCTCCTACTTCAGTGCAGAATAGTGACGTTTGTGTCTTGTTGATAACGTGTAGGTGGATGAATGCACTTTGGCCGTTCAGACTGAAGTCACATGTTAAAGATCAGATATGTATCAGTTTCAGGAGCACATATCCAAGTGTCCTGGGTCACATTTGAAAAAATTCGGATCTGTGTGGTTCAGACGTCATTAAAAGATCAGATACAGGAACATAGAGGCCAAAAAAATCTGATTTGGGTCACTTCAGGCTTCAGTCTGAACGCAGCCTTTGTCTTCTTCCTCCCTTCTCCTCCTCAGCCGACAGACGTAAAGCGTGACGAGAGAATTCTCCATCGGCTGCTTCACAATCATCATCAGAACCACCGCGGGGAAAAGTTTGGATGGCGTTTGTGTCCGTGGAGTAACGACAAACCGAGATGACAGAAAAGCCGGGAGCAGCTGAAGTGTGTGTTTTCTTGCCAAAGACGTAAATTCGTTTGTGTCTCTGTCCAATCAGAACCTTCCCCACCCCCAGACGCTGAAGCACATTAAATAAAAACGATTTAACGAGTTTAACACGTTAATTCGGAATTATTATTTCTGTATAAACAGCCTCAACAGCGTCGCTCCTGATTGGCTCTTCGGTTGCCGTGACACTCGTGGTCAGAACTCGGCTCCAGATGCGCTCCTGTAGCTGCTGCCCTCGATGAGCTTCATTTGGCACATTACGAATAGACTTTACACATGAACCCGACATTATAATTACAAGATCAGATACAGGAACATAGGAGCCAAAAAAAAAAAATCAGATCTGGGTCACTTCAGGCTGCAGTCTGAACGTCGCTTTAGTCCGACAGATGTTGAACCACATCAGCGACACAAGAGCTGTTTTTACTTCGTTTAGTTTATGCAAATGAGCCATGAGGTTTTAAGTTTTGTTTCTGTGAGAGTTGAACAAATCTGCATTAAACACATGATAATGTCAAACGGGCTGATGTGGCTCTAGAGTCGTTACGGTTTATATGTCGTAAAGTTGAATTTATTTATGCAGATTAATAGTGCAGATAGTAATAATAATGATGATCATTTTAATATAAAAACGTTAATTATTAATCGATAATCGGTCGTTAATTCTCCCAACGATCGATTAAGAAAATTTTATAGAATGCCCATCCCTACATGTGGTTTTTGTAGTTTCGTTGGTCATTTTCTGTACAGTTAGTTGCTTTGTGTGAATTATTTGAACCGTTTCTGTACATATTTCAGTGTGTTTTGTTAATTTAACCTTGAGTTATTATTTTATTTATCCCATTTTTCCATCTTTGTGTCATGTCCTGGACCGTCGCCGAGCTCAAGTATAACAACGTCCAAAGTCGATGATTTCATTACTTTACAGCGTTTATAAACCCCGTAAAGCCGCACTGTGGAACTTTATGAACAGGTCCACCACGTCTCCATGGAGATATTTTACACACACTGTGGCTTTAAACATGCCCATTCTGTATTTATTGAACTACATGGGTTTTTTTTTAAGCGATAAAACTTTAGTATTTGTATTTTTTCAGCTCCTGAAGTGTTTGAGTTTAAAGTCGCGTCTGTTTAAAGTTTGTTGTGACATAAAAACACGTGAGTCTGAAACTGTCTCTGTTTTTCCTAGAAACACTTGGACCAACGCTCGAGGCAACGAGAGGCCACGGAGAGAGAGAAAAAAGAGAGAAAAGAGGAGAAAAGAGGAGAGGAAAGAGAGAGGCCACAGCTACTGACAGAGAGAAAACACAGAAAAGAGAGAAAAGAGGAGAGGAAAGAAGAGAGAGAGAGAGAGAGGCCACAGCTACTGAGAGAGAAAAGAGAGATAAAAAAAAAGAGAAGGAAAGAGAGAAAAGAGGAGAGGAATGAGAGAGAGAGAGGTCACAGCTACTGACAGAGAGAAAACACAGAAAAGAGAGAAAAGAGGAGAGGAAAGAGAGAGCGAGAGAGAGAGAGAGGCCACAGCTACTGAGAGAGAAAAGAGAGATAAAAAAAGAGAAGGAAAGAGAAAGAAGGGAGAGAGAGAGAGGCCACAGCTACTGAGAGAAAAAAACAGAGAAAAGAGAAAAGAGGAGAGGAAAGAAGAGAGCGAGAGAGAGAGAGAGGCCACAGCTACTGAGAGAGAAAAGAGAGATTAAAAAAAAGAGAAGGAAAGAGAAAGAAGGGAAAGAGAGAGAGGCCACAGCTACTGAGAGAGAAAACAGAGAAAAGAGAAGAGAGGAAAGAGAGAAAAGAGGAGAGGAATGAGAGAGAGGTCACAGCTACTGAGAGAGAAACAAACAGAGAGAAAAGAGAAAAGAGGAGAGGAAAGAAGAGAGAGAGAGAGAGAGAGAGAGAGGGAGGGGGGGGGCAGCCACAGCTACTGAGAGAGAGAAAACACAGAGAGAAAAACGAAGGAAAGAGAAAGAAGGGAAAGAGAGGGGCCACAGCTACTGAGAGAGAAAACACAGAAAGAGAGAGGGATAACAGAGGAGAGGAAAGAGAGAGAGACAGAGAGAGAGAGAGAGAGGGTACAGCTACTGAGAGAGAAAACACAGAAAAGAGGAAAGGAAAGAGAGAGAGAGAGAGAGAGAGAGACAGAGGGACAGAGAGACAGAAAGAGAGGAGAGAGACAGAGGGCACAGCTACTGAGAGAGAAAACAGAGAAAAGAGGAGAGGAAAGAGAGAGAAAGAGACAGAGAGAGAAAGAGGCCACAGCTACTTTGTGTTCAACAGGAAGAGAAAAGAGAGAGGGATAACTGAGGGTGGAAAGGAAAGAGGGAAAACTGTTACGAATGAAAGAAGATAGGAAAGAGAGAGAGAGAGAGAGAGGGGAGGAGAGAGATCACAGCCACTTTGTGTTCAACAGGGAGAGAAAAGAGAGGGAGGAGAGGTAAGAGAAGGAGAGAAAAACAGGTACATCTGAGAGAGGAGAGGAAAGAGGGAGACAGGGAGGGAGAGAGAAAGAGAAAGAGAGAGAGAGCGAGGGAGAGAAAACAGGGTCAACATACTCAGGAGAGGAAAGAGGGAGAGAGAGAAAGAAGGACAGAGAGACAAAAACAATTACGACAGAGGAGAGAGAAGACGGAGAGAGAGAGGGAGAGAAAAACGGGTACAAGAGAGAGGAGAGGAAAGAGCGAGAGGGAAGAGAGAGAGAGAGACTGGAGAGAAATGGAGAGGAAAGAGAGAAAGAGAGGATGGAAGAGAGGAGAGAGAAGGAGGTTAAGAGAAAGTTACAACACGCAGCAAAGGAAAGAGAGAAAGTACAGGAGGAAAGAGAGAGAGACAACATGCAGCAGAAAAAAGATTAAGAGAGACCAACGTAGAGAAAAAGAGGAAGAGAAGAAACAGAAAGGAGAGTTTGAGAGGAGGGAAGGAAGGAAGGAAGGAAGGAAGGAAGGAGGGAAAGCGAGAGAGGAAAAGGAGTTGACAGGGAAGAGAGAGAGAGAGAAAGACAAACACACACAAGAGAAAAACTAGGAGAGAAACTAGACAAAGAGAGAGAGAGAGGCATAAGAAAGGAGAGAAAGAGACTGATAAAGAGAACAAATAAAAAGAGAAAGAAAGAGAGAGAGGAGGAGGAGGAGGAGGAGGAGAGACTCATGTTTGAAATAGTTGTATAAGAGAGAAAAACAACAACAGGTCCTTTTGAAAAACACACAGAGTAAAAGCCAAAGAGTCGTGGAACAGAACGAGCCTGTGTTTGTGTTTAAACACGAGGGAGTGCGGCCTCTGCGTCTCACGGCCTCTCAAAGTTCAAGGACATTTCTCTCTAACCGGAGGCACTTCTCTGTCTGGAGTGACCGCGAAGAACTGACCTGAGCTGGAGCTGATCCGTGCCGTTTAAACGAGTCAATCTCAAATCTGTTTTTGTGTGTGTTTGTTTTTTTCTTGAGTTTTCAGAGTAACTTAAAACTTTTCGCCCGTGTTTGTGAATAATACACGACGCGTAACTCGACACATAGGCCACGATACGATACGTTTTTCGATTCAGTGCACTTACGATTCAAAACGATAGATTTAAAATCGATTCGACGCAGTTCAGTAACAAACGAGGACTAAAAAAAAAAAAAAATCATACTAAAACTCTACTAAAGGACGCCACACACTACAGCAGCGTTCAAGGAAGTGAGACCCGACTTTGTGTTTTAGTGTGTGATTTTGAAACCGCTGCTCCTCGTGTGTGTGTGTGTGTGTGTGTGCGTGTGTGTGTGTCAGCGTCAGATCGTAAAAACCAAACATCAACAATCAGTATGATGAAAGACAATAAAGGAGGAGCGACGGACACAGACGTAAAATACAAACTCGGGACAATAACGTGAAGACTTTATTCCTCACGTCTCGTAAAGTGATAAATTTAAACTGCAGCGTCTCATTCACAAAATTTGTCCTTCACAATTAATGACTCCGGTCCACAAAACGGCGCTGTGAATCCAGTTTGAGTCGTTGTTTCAAAGTAAAAAGGTGGGAGTAGTTCCTCACGTGTGTTTGTTTACATCCACACAGCGCACGGATCGAGCTGAAGCTGCAGATTAACAAACGTGACTCGACTTCCTCAGGACTTTATCTCCAATCTTTTATGTTTTAAAAATCCTGCGTCTGAAGTTTTGCTCCACATTTCACAAATAATAATAATCACACAGTTTGGACTTGTGTCTAAACTAGAAGTGCAGAGTCTGATCATTGAACACTTAAAGGTTGTATGGAGGATTTTTTTCGTTTTTGTTTCAAATTGTCAATGAAAGTTTAAAATACCATTACAGAGACGCAGCAGCCTTGTAATTATGATGACCAAAAAAAAAAAAAGAATGAAAATCTATCAACTGTGGACGTGTTGAGGCCAGATAAACATCAGCCAATAGAAAACAAGGCTCCCTCATTTTCTATTGGCTGTCAGGTTGTCAATCAAACTCCCTACGTTTCTAGTGTAACTGACTCGCCGGCGCGCGGGGATTACATGGTTTATGCAGCGGTTCTTAGAGGCTTTTTCTAACCGTAGCTTCCTCGCAGTTCGCACAAATCGAGAATCCACGACCAGTTTGCCGCAAAAGAAAAGTCGCCGAAAGAAGAAGAGAAGGGGAAAAGGAGCAAAGACAAACTGAGGTGATTCTTGGAGATTCCTTCCAGCGATGGCGCGAATGAAGCAGACAAAGGGTCTAAAAACTGACGCATCGGTCGCTAAATTATTTCCAGACAGGTCACTTCAACAATATACCTAAAAATACTCTTGGAAATATATATCAATACAGCAGTCCAAGATATTGATACTGTATTGTCAAAGTAAACAATACGATATATGGGTCCGGTCAAGTGTTAACGGAGGGAAACAGGGGCAGATTTTTGACATTCAAATGTCTCTTATTCAGAAACTAGAGGAACTATTGAAATAAGTAAAGTATCAGAATGTAGGAAAGAGTTACACTCCAACAGGGTCAAGTTAAACCTGTGAGATTCTTTCAAGTTCAAGACAAAAAATTTAAAAACTCATGTCGGTAACGGAGGGAATGAAATATGCAGCACTTTTTGGTCAATAAATCCAAACAGTGATAACTCTTGGTTCTCACTTACATATCCTTAACAAACTGGTTTGAATATTTGCTTCATATAGTTTTCTACCATATGGTACAAGATTAGGTTGAGTAATGATATTTTTTTATTAAGAAAGGTCATGGTAACAGAGGGAAAATTGTGCAAACAAGTAGAAGGTGCAGGATTTTACATCATTTGTCACTTTTTTCTTCCAAATACTTTAATATTACTTCAAAATGAAAGGAAACTATTTCTATAAAATATGTCAGTCCTTCCAAGAACATTTTTATAATTTTAAGTACTTTTTTTTTTTTTAATCATGTACCTTCATCAACAGTTCAAAGTTGGAATAACACAAGATATGATGAAATACATCCATTTGTTTACATGATTTGCAGCTCTTTGAAATTTGGGAAATAATTTTTGTTCCATGTTTCATACATGGTCTGTTTTAAACGGATGGAACTTTAGAACCAAAAATGGTACAGAAAAAAGGTCAACAGTTTCATAAACTAGAGCACATATGTATCTGTTCAATACATTTTTATATCAGATGCATTAACTTGAGTTTTTGGCCTTGTTGTTTACTTCTGCTTGACCGGACCCATATCAATAATTCAATATTTTTGCACATTCCTAATGAGAACTGCTGGACAAAAAGTTATTGATTTTTAACACAGGGATCACACAGATATAAGAACACATGGGAAAATAAAAAGTATTACCATTTAACGTTGAAAATCACAGTATATTGTCTAAAGAAAGTGTTTTTTTTTTTTTTATTCTAATCATGGTTTCAGAATCAGCGTATTTTAGGACGGTGACAACACTGCGTTCTAATCACAACTACAATTTACAGCAGTTAGTATCGTCATTATAATAATAAATATTCTAACAGATTTGAGACTCTGAGCCGCGTGCGTCAGGTCAGACTGATGACGATGTTTCCTCGTCTCGGAGCCAAAAGGAAATGATTTCTAATAATAAACGTTCCCGCGAGAGTCTGAACAAACGGAGTCCGACTCACCTCCATCACCAGGAACACAGAGTTTGGAGTTTCCTGAAAAACAAAAGGAGAAAAAAACATCATCAGACACAAAATAACTGAGAAAACTGAACACAAACGCCCCCAAAAACAAAATCAGATTGTGCAGATTACAAACTACAAAGTCGTGAAATCTGCAGCTGAAAACGATAATCGAGCAGCAGAAAGAAAAGTTTGGAGTGAGAGAGAAACTTGTGACAGCGGGAGGATGCACCATGAAACTTTCCTGAAGTCACTGGACGGATGGACAAAGTCTGGACTTCAGTGACACCGAAACCATCCTGTCGGGATTCAGAAAGACCAGAATAATTCTAACTGGAACTGATGCTGAGTCTGATGCTCGCCAGGAGGCTCTTCCAGCTCCTTCTGACTCTGGCTCCAATTACGGTTAGGGTTAGGATCTTGTCGTCCGTCTCTCTCCAACTGTTGCTGTGAGCCTCATCATTTTGGTCTGAAAATGTTTGTATTTTCGCTATTTTTTCCGACAAAAAAATCCTATTCATAACATAGAGTCTTGCTCCAGATTCACTCCTGGAACCGTGAGCATCATGAGCCTCATTTGAGCTGAACATTGTGGGTGACGTCACACTTTAGTAAACTTCTTTTATAGAGTCAGCGAGTGTGTTTACATGCACATCAGTATCCCGGGTCTGTCAGTATTCGTGTTACTGTGTTTACATGCGCACTGAGAAACCGGGACACTCATATCCGCGTGTACATGATCAAATGGAGTGTCCCGGTTTCTTGACATAATCTTACAAATGCGCAAGCGAAAAAATTTACTTAAATCAATTTAATAAACCAGAAAATGCGATCAGCTTCTGTCGGACTAAATGACACGACTCAGTGGATTATGTGTGTTGTTTTTGTGACAGAAGAGGTGCTGATGATGGTGAGTCTGTTCTGTGCGTGTACAGTACAGGACATAGTTCATGTTTTAGCTTTTCAGTGATCACACGAGTGCAGGTCGTACGAGTGCAGGTTTAGTGCAGCTCTTAATTTACAGTCATTTTATTTATGTCGCTACAGTCGTGGTGAAAAGACTGGAAAGTGTCTTTTGGACACATGCGCACTCAATTTTACGTTGCAGTAACCGGGATACTGTGTTTACATGCCACAGTGTCCCGGTTACTATGGAATAAACCAGCTACAGTAACTTGGTTTCTAATAACCGGGACACTGCCATAACCAGGAAACTCAAAAAACCCGATCATAACCGGCATTCTGATGTGCATGTATACGCACTCTGGTTTGACGACAGCAACACAGAAGAGTTTGCGTCGCTCTGTTTACCTCCGGAGGTCGAGTTGTTCAGAAGTGACACCGAGGATGAAGAATTGAATGGATTTAGTGATTTGGAGTGAGATGGAGAGTTTGTTAAACTTGTTCTGTTCTGTTGTTTATGTTATAGTTTATCTGAAGAACTGTTCATATGTGACGTTAACACTGTTGTTCTCTCTTCTAGTGTTTTTACTTAAGATGAAATGTCTGCTCCTGGTCTCTGATTTTATAAAATAAATTTCCCCCAAAATATGTGACTTATGTTTCTTTCTTTCATTTTTTTGGCTGGTGTGACTAATAATCCAAAAATACGATAAATCTTTTTAGAATTTTCAATCTGCTCTGTTGCAGGATTTACACAAATGGGTCAGATTATTTATATTCATAGCTTTTTTTTTTTTTTTTTTTAATTATTACTTTTTTGTGCACATAAAGCAGATGTCACAGAAAAAAAAAAGTAATGCAATATGCCCCCCCCCCCCAAAAAAAAAACACTCCCCCACTGTCTACAGAAAAAAGAAGTAAATAAAGTAAATAATAATAAAATATAAAAAAATATAATAATAATAAAAAATTAAATGAAATAACAAATACATGAATAAATACAATAAATAAAATATATAAAAAAATAAATGAATAATACTTCTACTAAAAATTAATTAATACAGATAATGTAATAGGTAAATAAAATAAATAATAAAATATAGGGAAAAGAGGGAAATAAAAATAAATACAAAATGAGTAAAGAAATAAATACTAGAAATAAATAAGTAAATAAATTCCTGGTATATACAGTATATTCATATTAAAGTTTGACAATTTCACAAGAGTTTATTCTTACAAAAAAAAATATAAACAATGGTATTTGAGCAGAATCCTCAAAGTTCTGTGTTTTCTAAGTTTTATGAAAGGTCCAATAAAGAAAGACTGGACAGAGAGAGGGAGATTTTTTTAAGGGAGATTTTTTATTTTTATGTTTTTGGATAAAGTCTAGATGTAAAATAGAACCAAATACTGGTAAAATAAATCTCTGGTGAGTTTTCGGCCTGGTTGTTTGTGTTTAAAGTGTGTCTGTTTAAAAGTTGTGTGTTTAAACGTTGTGTGTTTTAAACGTTGTGTGTTTAAACGTTGTGTGTTTAAAAGTTGTGTGTTTAAAAGTTGTGTGTTTAAAGTGTGTGTGTGTTTGGCCTCGTTGACCCGGTGCTGACTGAGCGCGTGTGAAGTCGACACACAAAGACGACGCTGACGATAATGAGCTTAACGGGCTTTTCCAGAGCACTGGGACAGATGGAGCAGACAGGAGCAGAGCAGACAGGGGCAGGCAGACAGGAGCAGACAGGAGCAGACAGGGGCAGACAGGGGCAGACAGGGGCAGACAGGGGCAGACAGACAGGGCAGCAGACAGGGAGCAGACAGGAGCAGACAGACAGGAGCAGACAGGAGACAGGACAGGGGCAGACAGGAGACAGGGGCAGACAGGGAGACAGGCAGACAGAGAGGGCAGAAAAGAAAAGAGGGGAGCAAATCTGGACTAGAAGACTAAAACAGAACTAAACCAAGATGTAACCAGGACTAAATAAAGATTAAACCAGGACCGAACCAGGACCGAACCAGGACCGAACCAGGACCGAACCAGGACCGAACCAGGACCGAACCAGGACGAACCAGGACAGAACCAGGACCGAACCAGGACCGAACCAGGACCGAACCAGGACCGAACTCCTCTCTGCAAAAGTTTATATTCCATAGAAAAAAATCTGGACTAAACCAAGACTCAACCAAGATGAAACCAGAACCCAACCAAGATCGACCCCGGGGTCAAATCAGGACCGAACCAAGACTAAACCAAGACTGAACCAGGACTGAACCAGGACTGAACCAGGCCCAAACCAAGACTAAACCAGAACCGAACCAGAACCAAATCAGGACTGAACAAGGACTGAACTCCTTTCAGCAAAAATGTATATTCCATAGAAGAAAGAGGATTAAATAAACCTGGACTCGACCTGGACTCGACCAGGACTCGACCAGGACTCGACCAGGACTCGACCAGGACTCGACCAGGGCTCGACCAGGACTCGACCAGGGCTCAACTCCTCTCTGCAAAAATTTATATTTCATAGGAAAAAAGGGGGACTAAACCAGGACTAAACCAGGACTAAACCAGGACTAAACCAAGACTAAACCAAGACTAAACCAAGACTAAACCAAGACTAAACCAAGACTAAACCAGGACTAAACCAGGACCACACCAGGGCCAAACCAAGACCGAACTCTTCTCTGCATAAGTTTATATTCCATGGGAAAAAAGGACTAAATAAACCAAGAATAAATCAGGACTGAACCAGGACCGAACCAGGATCTAACTCCTCTCTGCAGAAGTTTATATTCCACAGAAGAAGAAAAAAGAAAAGGACTAAGTAAACCAGGACTAAACCAGGACTAAACCAAGTCTAAACCAGGACTAAACCAAGACTGAACCAGGTCTAAACCAGGACTAAACCAAGACTGAACCAGGACTAAACCAGGACTACAAAACTAAAAAAAAAATCTAACCAAAACCAGGACTAAACCAAGAAATAACTATATCTGAACAAGGGACTGAACCAGGGACCAAACCAGGACTAAACCAGGACTAAACCAGGACCAAACCAGGACTAAACCAGGACTGAACCAGGACTGAACCAGGACTGAACCAGGACTGAACCAGGACTACAAAACTAAAAAAAAATCTAAACAAAACCAGGACTAAACCGAGAAATAACTATATCTGAACAAGGGACTGAACCAGGACTAACCAGGACCAAACCAGGACCAAACCAGGACTAAACCAGGACTAAACCAGGACTGTTCCTTTCATTACTGTAGTCGTCAGTCAACACATTGTGCAAACGTCTAAATCCTTCACCAAACATAAACCCTGAGTCACTTGGTGCGTGTGACTGAACTCCTCCCACGGCGGATCAGGTTTCACAACATTCACTCCAGTCCGGACGAGCTTCCAGACCCGACATGTTTATCTCCCAGTCACAGGAGCTCGGAGGGGCCGGGAACTCTCCGGAACGTCACGCCTTCCAAATTCCAAACGCGGAGAAAACGGCGTAAACATATTCTGACCGTTTCGTAACCGAACCTGAGTGAAGCTCCACCTGCTCCGACTGACGCCTCTCGAAAACAAACGGGACGGAAACGAGCCAAAGGATCAGAGCCAGGTCCCGGAAGAACAACAAAGAACAAGGAACTTTCCAGGGATTTAAAGGAGCTGTGCCTAAAGTCTGATTTTACTGTTTAAATATGAACAAAAATGATTTAAAAAAACTGACTAAACCAGGACTAAACCAGGTCTAAACAAAGACTAAACCAGGACTAAACAAAGACTAAACCAGGACTAAACAAAGACTAAACCAGGACTAAACAAAGACTAAACCAGGACTAAATAAAGACTAAACCAGGACTAAATAAAGACTAAACCAGGACTAAACCAGGACTAAACTAAACCAGGTCTAAACAAAGACTAAACCAGGACTAAACAAAGACTAAACTAAACAAAGACTAAACCAGGACTAAACAAAGACTAAACCAGGTCTAAACAAAGACTAAACCAGGACTAAACAAAGACTAAACCAGGACTAAACTAAACCAGGACTAAAACTAAAAGACTAAACCAGGACTAAACCAAAAACAAAGACTAAACCAGGACTAATCCAGGACTAAACAAAGACTAAACCAGGACT